TAATGCCATTTCTAGCAGCACACAAAACCTGAGTAAAGCACAATCATTGATATGAGATGGTAAATGGAAGAAAGAAAATACTTACTGAGCTTGGACCCACCCAGAAGTTTTGTTGTTGCACAAATTTAACATTTTCATAAACTCCCTTGTTCCTCAACACCTCAAAATAAATTGAAAAAGTAGTATTACTAATATTGCTCATACATTTTCAGTCAAAATTCAACCAAAAATTACAGACGATATACTGATGTAATAAACGCTGCGAAATATACTCACAGAGTCGACAGTTTCATGTTGTGAGAAGCCCACAGGGGCAATGCCATAGATAGTGACAGCCAGAATGGTGATGAGCAAATGGACAAATGTGATCCAATAGGTAAAAAAAGGCCTGTAGGGGAAAAGAGGACAGTAGGACAATTTCAGGCTCGATTTGCTGGGAAAAGTTACTAATACTTAGTTTTGCCCTCCAAGGAAATCAGGGGTCTTACCTGTGATCATCCATGTCCTCAATCTGCCTTTTGACGAAGCTGTCAATACGCTTGCGGTACGTCCGGTTTGTGAGACGGCCAACCATGCCGAGCCCATAGGGCCTCTTCTCTCTGGCAAACAGCTTTTTAACAGGAACCACAATCCTCTGTCCCCGCTGCTGCTGATGACTGTTGACACTCACCACTTCCTGTTTCAGACGCACCTTAGGTTGGACCAGAGAGCCATCTTTTGCTTTCCGCCATCCCCGCTCTAAGGGCCTGGGTTGAGAAAGATGAAAGTGGAGGAAAGCATTGTAAATGAGAGTGTCAGACGGAGAATGTTTCAGTCAGGGCTTGATATTATAAGACAGTACTCTCTCTCCCCTGCAGCATATCAGAGGTTCATGTTTGCATACTTAATACTGTAAAAACTGTAAACCCACAGCATGAGATGAGTCCTCTCCAGTTCGTTCTTGTCCAGCGCACTTCCTGTCAGCTCGCTCTCGTCCAGCTGTTTGATGGCAGCCTCCGATGGTGTCTCAAAAACTTCGTCAGCATAGCTGGACAACTCATCCTGCAGGCCGTCCTACGAAAGTGAAAACAGAGTAAGTAGAAATCCAAAGCTGAACAACTCAGAAAATATAATCTGTTTGAAAGATGGCGCACAGGGTCCTCACACGGCAAGAGCCAATACATAAAAATACAGCTTATAGTATATCCTCAGATCATAAGACAGTGCTTTGAATCAACACATCAACTGATTGGATCTGGTTGTTTTGATCAATTTGTTCACTCAAGAAAATACTTCATTCAATCATTCAATCAAGTTGTGACGTCATTCAAATTCAGTTCAATCAATTTATAACTAATTTGTTAATAGAAACACATAAAAAAAATGTCCTGCCTACAACATAAAACTATAGGAAGACTTTACAACGTTTTGTGTAACTGCAAGCTGTAGGACGTAACGGGTGGATGCTCACTGGGTGCTTTAAGCAAAAGTGGAGATAACTTTTGAGTGAATATTTTGAATTTGATGATTAAGTGAAAATAAATGAAAGGTTATCCCGGCAGTGTACGGAAGTGTGTCCAGTGCTCACTCTGGTGAAGAAGGAAGTGTCCAGGTCATCAGGGAAGTCCACAGTGTCGTCTTCAAAGAAACTAGGAGGCATGAAACTCCGCCTCCGACATCGCCCGGCAGTGCTGTCACCGAATGACCGTCCCTAACAAAAAATCGCAACATTATCATTATTTTCATCAATAAGTACACAGTATATCCTAGCCGTGTATCTGGAGGAATCCCAGACTGTGCCTGTACTTTCTTTCTGATTGTTTCTGATGTTTGTGTAGCAGCCGTGACCTCTGTGTGACAGTGGATTAGCTCTGCACTTCTGGAATATTTTGACGTCTGGTGTGTATTATCACGGACCATCTGCTGGTGAAACTGCCCCAGTAACCCCCGCCCCACAGGCGCTAGCAGATACTCTCACTGAACATCCATTCAACCCTGTATATGTGTGAGTCTGCAGCCAGTGGGCCACACAGGGACAGTCATCTGCGCTTTAGTGTAAGGTATTTCATCTGAGTTTAATCTGCAAGCTGATCTTGTGTTTTATATAACATGCCTACACACACACACACACACACACACACACACACTTGAGTGCACAGATAAAACCCATCCATTCATATGTGTAGGAGACAAGGACACATCAGGATATGACAGATGTACTTTTTTTAGGAATCTCTTCACAAAAACATAAAATAATGGACATTATGTGCATGGAAACATATCCTTAACTATACTCCTGGTCTTTAAATGATTTGTTACAAAACATCATAATAATGTTAAGCATTCATATATTGTGAGCTCTGTTTTGACTGAAGATAGTGAGCTACTGCTACTACTTACAGCTGGTCCTAATGTGCAGTTACATTGCCAGGACATGGAGGTAGCTTTTAACTTTAAAAAAGAGTTTAAAGCACAGATTTTGCAAAGCAGAGAATATTTGGCGAATGAAAGAAATTCAAACTAAAATGCACTGTATAAACAATAAATAAACAAACACCTTCATTAGTGCTGCTGCAGCTTTGAGACTCATGACCGCCACAGACTCCCGTTTGCGTCGTCGTGGCAACCGGTTGAGGGCGGAGCGGGAGCTGGAAAAGGAGCAGAGGGAGGCTGTGCCGGGCGTGATGGGAGTTTGCGGGACACTGAAGCCGTCTACCTCTTCCACCATGCGGAAGGCACGACCCCGGGCCAGGGGGTCTACAATCTACACACACACACACACA